TATAAATCGCCAGATACCTCAACATGTGTGCATCGTTGTGAAACGAAGAATACGCAAGAATGACTATTTTTCAAAATTAATTCATTTATTGCACTGCAGTGAAATGCGCATTCAATAAACTATAATGAATAAGCAAATAAAATTGACTAATAACACAAAACTAACAGCATCATGTCAACTTCTTTGCGATACAACATTCAAAATTTCACGAATCACTCTCATTTACGCATAACAATTCACTGTTTGTGACTTGTTCTCTTAAGGCGGAATAAAACAAAAAAGGCATAACACCGGAATATTTATAAACATCATAAAATTGTAGAATATACATAGGATTGTTGGATTCCTCTTTGCTGCACGTATTTCTGTTATATGCAGGAAAGAGGATGGAATACAGCGAGGATGCCATGCGAATCCAACGGATAAAATGAATTCACATAGCAAATAAATGCGGACATGAAGGCACACTAATGTTGATAAATAATCAACTGAATAATTCAATACACTATACATTCTTAACGCAATATACTCTCCTTATATTGGTTTGAATTAAAACGATATGATGCACAAAAACAACCATCAATGTAACCGACTTAACTATTCGAGATGTGTACTTGAAGAGGATGAAGCGTGAAGTTTTAGGATCTTCCTTACGATTACCTTGGAAGGAAGATCCAAAAGCTTCATGCTTCAACCTCTTCGACCACATTCGTCAGCACATCTCAAATAGTTAACTGTATCTACGACAGTTGTTAAAACACTAAAATATTCTTAACAACTCAATGAATATTTTCTTACAAATACATTATTGTACACCAGCATCATTCAAAAAATACCATTATAAATACATAATTACACTATTATATAATATTACTTACATCAGATTGATTTGCACCAAACCCAAACGCGCTCAAACCACTTAATTATACATATTTGGTTTTTGAACAATATTCTTTTAAAAAAACAAAAACATCAAGAAACATAGAAAAATATTGTAAAATTAATCGGATGGATGAATTAATCAGTATATTATGTGACCTTTAAATGCTACAATAATTCAACAGATCGGTAACATTGAGCATGGAACATATAATGAGTGCAGCAGGTTATTCGTATGAGATCTGTCCGTACAAAAGCAAAGTGAAATAATGTTGCGACAACAATAGATCGATGAAATGCAGCAACGGAATGAGAAACTCTAACTTCACATGAAATGTTTTCAATTACTGAATGACCAACAAATACGATCCATATTTCATAAACAAAACTTGAGAAGGCATTACCTATCGAAATGACCGCTTCGCGATTTATTTTGGGGCCGCATCGACGGTCACATCAATATCGAATATTTCCCAATCATCATCGTCATCGTCCCAAAACGAGTCTGCTGATCTTTGTGGCGGCTCAAAACTAGCGCTTCGAGGCATTTGCCCCGCACTATCTTCGGTACCCTTCTCACTCTTCTTCTTATCTTGTGATACTATTTTATTCGACTGTTCGCTGTTGGGATGCGACGTTGCTGGAAATGATTCAGTTGAATGTAGAAAGCATTTCTGTCTGTTAAGCGAACAAATGGTTTACATATCAGCAAAAAGGAAAAAAACTTCGGAAAACATACGATTATAATTACCTGCGATTATGGATATTCGTTTACTCCAGCCGCCCACTTGGATCGTTTTCGATGACGACGTCGACAGATCACTCGTTTTACATCGACGAAACGGTGTTCGATCGTAATTCGATTTTTTCACAACATTTGTTCGTGCGTTCTCATTTGATGATACCTTTAAAACGCCTTGGATTATTCACACTCTCAAAACACGTTCGATTCAAATCGTTATCGCATAACATACATCAAACCATATTACTCACTGTAGGCAAACTATTGCAAAAAAATGCATAAACGAACATTACTGCACTGATTGTTTTTATGAATAATCACTGTTGAAGACTGCTGCTGCTTTCTGTGATCAATATTGATTTCAGGTTTCGGTGTGGGTGCCTTGACTATGACTGTATGAACACGAACATCGGGCTGTGGTTCATAGGGAATCTGTGAGAGTAATTCATCGATTGCATCATCATCCATTGAGTCATAACCATCCAACGCATCTTTCTTCTCATCAAAACTGAATTTACATAAGCAATCAGGATTATTCTTAAAGGATCTATCAAGGCAGGCAGAAGGAGCTTCACTTATTATGTGCCTAAAAAGTCTTTCGCGACTACCACAAAGTCACTTTCACCATCAATTTTAAGAAGAATAGAAAAGAAAGTCACGGGCCGAAAAATTTTTTCATTAGAGAAATCTTTACTTGGAGAAAGAAAACACGATGAACGAAACAAAAATGAAACTATCGACAAATATGATAACGAGGAAAGAAAAGCAACTGAAAACAACAACAATTACCGATGAACTGTTTTACGTGCCGAAAGTGGAGTGCTCTCTTTGGGACCAATCGGTGACGATCCATCATCATTATCGTCGTCAGAAGAACAGAACGATAACCTACGCCCATCTCTATAGACGCCTGTTTGCGATGTTTTCCTTAAACAATTGCAAATTTTTATTTTATACTCGTAAACATTTCGAGGAACCGAAATACCCTTTCAAATGATTACCTCCTACGTTTCCGTGACTCAATTCGTGTAATCGGTGAAGGCTCTTCACTTGTGAGATTCCTGAAACGCGCTGAGATCAACGTTCGTACGCCATCACGTGCAGTCGGTGTCAGATTTATTTGTGTTGATTTCGAGATGGCATCTGCTGAGCCGCTCGAATCCGGATGATCATTCGATGGTATATCATCAAAGGATATTGAACATGTTGCAACTGAACTAGTTCGGTGTCGTTGACGTTTTTCCTCGAGAATTCTTTCTGAAAAAAAAGAAAACAAAACTTCACGATAGAATTTTCGAAAAGAAACACTCGACTGTTGAATCGAAATATAATAAACTGACCAAAATTTGCTTTCGCTTCCTTTAAAGATCGTATTATTTCAGCAGTATCATCCATGACCGATTCATCAAGTTTTATCACCTCCGCTGGTGTTTTACTTGCCGACACTTCTGGTGATACCTTACGAAAACCACAATTATGCGTCTTCAATACTGGAGGTGTCACCTAAACGAGACTTTTAAAAATACCTCAATAAATATGTAACATCCAAGCTATCCGCTAAGTTTTCTCTAAAAATTCAGCCGTGGTAGATCAGAAAATCAGCTGCTTACAAATTTTCACAGCTTTAAGCACAAGCTATCTCCTTGACTGAGTTGCCAACGAAGCTTATCATTAAACATGAACGTGTTCAACCATTAACATCGATATTGTTTATGATACAATTCATCAATCCAGACGAATTGTTATTTCAAAATGCAACAATCTTAAACCAAATGCAGTTTGCACAGCACAAAAACCAAGTGAAACACATAACACGTTATGAAGCACTAACATCAATTTTCCGCGTGGTTCCACCACTGTCCTGTTCACTGGAATTCGTCGAGTTCACATCAGTGCTTCCGTTCGAAAACCAACGATCGAATTCCTCATCAAATTTTCGTTCATCAACTGAAAAATCAAATGCCTTTAGATTTGCTAACCCTTATACTTCTCATTCAATTCTGAACACTAGTGC